GACAACGGGAAATTAAAATGTCTCGTGGCAAAGGTACGTGTAGGCACATTACAATACCACATAAATAATTGTACAGTGGGATGGCAGTCGATCATGCGATGTTTAAAAATATAAACGGCGAAAGTGAATTTTCTGGCTGTACGCAGCTCGACGCGACGCTTTCCCATCGTGCCTATTCATGGCGGGCAGTAAACAAAATCGGCCCAACGAAATATTATAATATAATGTTGTGCGTTTATTTTACAATCGTTACTGTATATACGAATTCTCGTGGCGGCATTACACGCATAAATATGCACAGTAAGCGACGTAATATCAAAATGCGATCGTTTAGAAAAAATATTATTACGCATCGTAAGACATGATAAATAATAATTGACGAGGGTGTAGAGGAAAAAAAATGATACGGATAAAAAAGTTATTTTATAAATCTACGCTGATATTAAATCGGTTGCAAGAATAACACCCACGCCAAAACTAAAAAGAAACCCCATCATTAAACTTGCTGAAAACGCGTACAAGAGTGTATACTATTCCTATATATATATATAAGTTTGAATCCGAGGAATAGATTTTATCGCGTTTTCTTTTTCCCTTGAGGGTCACGTAAAAAAATCGCTAACACGGGATATTTTCCATTATTATAGTACCTACTATGATTACAAAGAACAATGCCCGGATCGTTCGGTTTTCGCATATCAACGATATGTATAATTATTTAAATTCGAAATTATTTTACATATACCTAAACAACGGCCGGAAATAAATAATATCGTATATTATAAATTATAATATTATTAATCGATTCATTATTGTAAACGAATAATAAATTATTGTCAAACGGAACAAGAAATTATGTACAATAAATATGTATATTGTATGAAGAGTATGTGATGGTTCCATGAATCTATAAACCAACCGGTCAGGTGCTATAATATTATTATTAATACAATTAATACTGTGTATTATCAAACACTATCTCTAGAGAGTGTAAGAGCCAATAAATTAGTTGACRGGTGCTTATAGAATATTAATGACTAAAAGTACGTAAAGATTGTGAAAACCCTCTTTCTAAATAATCATATATGCATATATTATAATTATTAATAACCTAAACTGAGGAAGACTTTTTTGGGAGATGGTGGGAAGATGGGTAAAAAAAATAATTATTCAGTGTAAGGACGTTTTCGGGATGAAATATTAGAAAATTGTTTTATAAATGTTTAGTTTATCATAGCTGTTTATAGTGACTCCAAAAATGCAGTGTCTTAAGTACCATCATATAATTAATATAGAAATACAAAAAACAAAAAAAGTTAATTAAACGAGATTTAGGATTGATTAGGACCTAAAAATTATGGCATCGCAACTCATGATGTAAAAATAAATTAATATTATCTCATCGTAACGGATCACGTCAACGCCGCCGGTGGTGCCAAAGTTTATACTTCCATAAACTGTGGATATATAATATCATATATATACCCAGTAATACGGGGGGGGGGGTTATTTTATTGGTAACCCGGATATGTCGTCACGAAGTTCAAATATTTGTTTTCCGTCGGTTTTCATTCATTTTGTTATCTTGGTTAATAACCTAACAGGAATATATTAATTATTCGGAACAATAAAATATATTATATTATGATATGATCCGTCATCATGTTGTATTATTTAATGTATAGGTACCTCTACGCGGGAATCGATCGGGGGCCTTTGAATAAACAATATAGGTATGGCATGTGTTCAATTAAAAATATAAAAGAGAACAAGTCGATTTTGCTACTATATACGTTATAATATACTGCAGCAATAACAAAATTGAATTCCACGAGGACTTTTTTTTATGACGTAGGTACGTATAATATATTAATCAGTTTTTTCACTAGTTCATTATAACTATATAACTATTATTATTCGATCAATATTTGGAAGCTATTATAACCACTTCATACGTTATACGGCGTTAAAATATTACTTTTTGTAAGCTTATGTACTCGGAATATTATTAAGTAAATTGAGCGTTTCGTATGAACAAATTCAAACCACAGAGTATTGACGAGTTTCTTATCAATTTATCTCTGTAATTTCAATCGGCTTTAATTATTTTTCGCAAACTTCTCCAGATATAAACACAATGTGATTGTTGCACATACTTTGTTGTAACTTAATAAGTGATAGAACGTTTTAAAACTTTTCCAAGTATATTCGAGACAAGAATTTTTTATCGCCATGTGGGTATTATGTCAGAATGATGATCAAATAAGGGTCAACTTCCTATCCATTATTCATTTAATATTTGAACTAATAAATGATTTGAGCACAAAAAAAAATAATACTACAATAATGATAAATTGAAAGTAAAATAAAAATTCAGAGTTTAAAAATATGGGTCCTTGGCCGTATAGGTATCCTATATATCTTTACGCGAGTTATAAAATATTTTTTTAGAAGCAAGTAGGTTTTACTTTCTACTGACTTAGTTTAACTATACATTTAATGAAACTATAGGTAACTATAAACTATAAAACGATCATAATCTAATGTTTTTTTTTTTAAATAATTTTTTAGTAAGTGTTCAAAAGTATATAGATGTACCTATAGTCGTATACTATATCCTTGGTCAAGTTATACATTAGTCACTAAATTTATAAGTAGTAAAATTTAGCAAGTTGACATATCAAATACGATTATCGTTGCAATCAAAATACCGAGTTGAAATAGTCTTACATTATTAAACTATCGTAATAAATATAAGAAATGAATAATGAAGGAAAATATTATTAAATATTTAAAAGTTAAAAATGTTCATATAATTTTAATTAAAAATAAATAGGAGTATTAATAATAAACTAGAAATAATTTGTTTGAAAAACAAATAAGTATAATAATATTGGAGCTATAATAACCTAGCGTTAAATTTAATTAAACGATAAATAACAAGAAACTAATTGTTTTCTGAAAGTAACAACATCGTAAAGTCTTCATAGTAAGCTTGTTTATATTGTAAGCTTTCACGCTATGCTTAGAATTTAAAACGCTCGTAATACATGCACATACATACAATATGCAATTACCTCAGGAATCAGCATTCTACCTTTTATTAAAAAAAATATATTAATTTGTCTGTATTTCATTCTAAAAATTAATTTTTTTCATCTAGTTCAATAGAACAAAATTAAAAATTAAATTAATTTTTTACAGTAAAACGATTTATAGTTTAGACTGCATTATACCACACCTATATAATAGTTTTAGTTTTAATCTTTTTTCATTGTGTTCATCACAATTCACTGCAAATTTTTTAATCTAAAAGTTGATCCCAAATTACCAATACAATAACCCAATATTAATAATAAAAATGAAACATACCAATAAATGTCACGATTTACCAACAGATGCATATAAAAAAAAAAATGTTGAAAAACAACTATAGGATGAAGGTTGTGATTATTTTCACTTTATCGATATGTACAAATACATTTAAAATAACTCAAAGTTAAATTATATTTTACCATTCCAAAAAAATTTACCCTATAATTGTCAGTATTTAATTGATAAATATAAAGCAATTTAAAAACGATTTTAGACGTTAAAAAAATGCATACCTACTAATTCTTTTGTATAGCATAACGGGATCAATATCAATGTACCTAAGTGCATTTGATAAATTGTCAACAAAAAAAGATTACAAACATTGGCAACCCAATTGAGAAAGTATAAAGAATAAAACGAGAAACATTAAAAACATGAGAATGTTGTACTTTCATACATGTATAATCTCAATTAATAAAACACGATGTTCGTTAAAAAAAATACCCTGAGTTCAGTAAAGAATGATGTTATATCTTATTTGATAATTAATGTGCTCAACCGACCATGCTTAGTGCAATGCACATATCACATATACATACATAGTTCTTATTATAAAAATGTAGGGTTGTAAACACCATCTTTTCTACAAAAATAATAATACAACAATTTTGATTCTAATACATGTACAGTATATATACGAATATACGGCACAAATGGTATATAGGGTTACTCGTAATGAAAGGAAATATTATATAATATAACTACTTGTCTTCAATAGTTCAACGACAAATAAGATTTATAATTAACGTTGATACACACTCGTATAATTAGAGTTTCGGCAAAATTTTCGTTTAATGAGTTACTCGAGAAAAGAAAAAAACAATATCGGGAGTTTATACGAAAATATTATGCGACCTTCCACACACATTGTGACGCACCAATGAAACATAATATTGTATTATATTATAGGTACATTTATATAACTTTATGGTGGTTCTAGTAATAATAAGAATACAATAATACCGCGAGGAGGTATAAACATATAAGTGTGAAATCGTAATGAGAAATTCAGTTTTGCAGCGAACGTGCTATACAAGAGTGGAGAGGGAGCAGAGCTTAAATACACATATACTCACACACACTCTCGACCACCTACCCTTACTCCCACACACACACATATACTCTCTCTCTCTCTCTCTCTCTACAAACACGCAAACGCACATCACACACAACCCAATGTAACCCTATGTAGTTAATACTATATTATATGCGTGAACCGATCACTGTTGCCCCTAGACACGGACATATAGTCATAAACGATGGTAACACCGGTCGCGCGGTCCAAAACGCCACATAAATGCAATTGGTACAGGAAGGAATATAATATATTGTAACGTTTATGATAACGAGTCCGCCGCCCTCCGACACCGCCGCAGACTCCGAGGACCCGGATCGCGGCGGCGGCAGTGGTTTGCGGGCGGAGGCGGTGGGTTTTTCTCCGGAAATCGGAGCTGCAATCGATAATCGCGCGCCAACGTCGCCGTTACGTATACACTACGCGAACGCATCACGTATATACACGCGTACAATTTATATATACGTGTGTATAATATGTGAATCGCCACCCACGCCAACACCGTCCCGCCGATTATTCGCGCGCGCCCCCGTCACTCGCGCTCTCTCACCTGCGAACGGTCGGTGTAATATACGACGGTGGCGACGATTCCGCTAGGTATATACAATAATCTGCACAGTTTATCTCGACGACGGCGGCTGCAGTCCTCCTGTCCGGATATCCGTCCGTCGGCTGGCGTCTGGACGAGGTGTCGGTGTGTCGTAACCACGGGTGTCGCGCGCGATTTATAATACAATTATTGTAATGACAATAATACGACTACGGTTGCGTTACACTGCCGCGGTCTTACGACGATCGTGTTGCGGTTGTCGCGTCGACGGCGATCGCAGCCGTTGTCGGGGTCGGGGAAAGATCGAGCGACGACGACAACGACGACGGCAACGACAACGTGCACATCACCGCAGCCGGTCGATATAACCGCGTGTGGGTGACACGCGAAAGATACGACGGCTAAAACGCGCTAGGCGTGGTGAAGAATGCGTCTTACGCGGAATAACACTTGCTGGTTTTTATTCCTCGAGCGCCACTCGAATCGAACTGATGGAGTAGTAGTGTAATATCCTCCCAAAAACAACAAATCTAACAAAAATAAATAAAAATACGTGTAAAACCGTAAAAAGTCTGTTAGATCGACACTTGGTCGTTTTTGATTTGACCGTAAAAAAGAAATCAAAAACAATTTGGTATTATTATGATATTATATTTATATTGTTATATATCGCACCGCGGAGGCGACACTCGTTAGTGGAACGGTGGCGAACGTTAAAACGCAGCGTCGAACGACACACTACGGGACTCGCGCCGACTATTATAAACACAACATTAGGTAAACGAGCGGCGGCGGTGGTGGTGGCGGCGGTAGTGGTGCCCCAGCGCCGCGCCGCGGGTGTTGCTGGCGTTCAGCGCGGCGGCGGCAACTCACCCGGGCTCCCTTCAGCCAGCCGCCGACCATCTACTCGGTTGGCAGCATCGCGGCCGCCGCTGAGGTACGTGTGTATGCCGCCGCCACCGCCATCGTAGCTGCTTTAATATATATCAGCGGCGGCGGCGGCGGCACAGCTAATTCGATTATGTTCTGGAAGAGAGACGAACTCACACTCATATATACACAGACACACACACAAGTCCRCGCAGGCGCGAGCGACCTGTACCCGTACTCTTGTATATTATACAATCTCGTGTACACACACACACACACCGTGCAAAGGTGTACGGTCCAATGAGGGTGTGATCGTTTTTCATACCCCCTTCCTACCACACGCTGAAAAAATTTGACGTATGCGTAGCCACACACGCGCAAACGATTATGGGTATAAATTTATAGGTATATATATTATGGTATACGCGATGTACGTGGTATAAACCAGACAATATGCCAACATCCTATACCCTGCGGCCTGCACGTCCATGATGTTAAATAATATGTATATAATACCATGGAGGGCAATACGCGCTCCGTTGCAACTCGAGCTAGGGAGAAATATACTCTCGATGTTCGTTATAGCCTCTAAAAGGGTTAAGTTTAATTCGATAAGCTTCCCACACACACGCGCGCGCATATACATGGTCGAGCGAGCGGAAAACGGTGTTTGGATGTGTGTGTGACATGTTGTTGCATTAACCACCACCGCAGACGCCGCCGCCGGGCTTGTCACGTCGTTATCGCCGTGTGAAATTCGCGTATACGATATTATATAATAAATAGGTCTTTTTTTTTTTTTAACGTTTGGAGCATAAAATGAAAATAATAATAGAAAACCATATTTCTACGTCATTAGATCATAATATTGCTATAAAGATCCGCCGTTGTTTCCTTCGAAACAGGACGCGATATGAAATTTTAGTAGATACGTATATATACAACATTATAGCACAAACCTATTATATGGTACGTATAACGCGAAAACGTTGCAACAGGCCGTCGTCGAGTTTTGAAAAACGGGCACGGACCACGACGACAGCGTCGCGACGGGTCGACAGAAGAGCAACTACTATAGGGAATTGTTCAACGACCCGGAGAAACTTTGAAACAACGACACGAACCGGAGGTCGGCCGTGGACGAGGAGGAGGAAAAGGATTTCCGTCGAATCTCGGTCTAAAGTGTCCAAACCTTATTTTATCATAAACATTTTATTTGGCCGCTGTTAACGCGTCGTATGTTTGTATTATCTCCGCCGGAGTCTCGCCGTCGACCGAGGAATGGCTTCCGCTGCAGCGTTTGCACACAATGTATATGTGCTAATACCTGTACGAACGAGACGTGATAATACGATAATATGGAGTGATGTGAAAATCCCTTTAACAGAGCATTCCAATTCCAACAGTCGTATTGTAACCGATAAGCGCGTCGTTCCCATATAGTAATATGTTTTGTGTATTTTGTATACAATTTACATATATTTATGTATAAATATATTTCTCAGTTGTTATTTATTTATTTGTTTTAAATATCCGAATAATATAAAATCGTTATACATAAAAAACATTAGATTATTATATTTTAAATGTCAAATTGTTAAGTATTTATAAACGGTGAACCCAATTATTCTTTTGAAAGAATATAATTATAACAACGAAATTTATGTGTGTTGCATAAATATGTAATACATATTACATTTTACTTTCAAAATCATTCATTCTACCTATATTTCATAGAAATCGTATTGATAACTTAAAATATATTGAAGATCGTCATCATCATCATCAGTTTTCATGAAAAATTAAAATTTAGAAAAAACGAATATTTCAAAAATACATCATAATAATTAATAATAATAATATAGAATATTATAAATTATAATGTATTATAACTCAATAATAAATTGAGGTTTCCTTTGTTGTAAGTAATTTTAAACGAGTACAGAAATATTTTATTTTATTGTAGGTACAATATAAGTCCTATGTAATCCAAGAGTTCGAAATGATGGCTCGCATAGTTGCACATGTACCTACTGGCTACTACCTAAAGCATACATCGATTGATCTTTTATGGAATAATTTTGTACACAAAATAATACATTGATTAAGACATCGAAATTCAAACAATTAATAATGTATAATTGGTAATTATTTTTATTTTTATCATTACTTTTATTTTATACTTTTTATAGCTAGGTTGCATAATTTGTATAAATGCCTATTAAATAATTAGGTAATTAGGCACTTTAAACAAGGTAACAAAACAAAAAAAACCTACGGCTATAAAGACAATATATAATTTCTAGAAAATAGAAACCAAGCCCCYGATTAAAACAAAGTAAGGTCTGGCATTGAATACTATTTTTATTTCAGCGATGAAATGTTTATATTTTTCCAATAACAATGTCTTGACAATTTGGGATCTTAAGTATCAAAGTGCCTACAGAATTCGAATAGTTTGATCCCCTTGCATGTGTACTTTGTAGTTATCTATATATTGATCAAATACGATGAAATCCATTTTAAAGCTTAAATGATAGCCACAAGGGACCGTATTGAGAATCGAAAGAAAACGAATAGGAAATCCTAATTGCCGGATCAATCTCAACTACAGCGTAAGCTCTATTTTCTCTCATAAATACATACATATACACACACATTTACATTATATATATTTCATACATCAACCATGCAGTGTATTAATAAAATGTCAGCAATATTTGTACTTGCACTTTTATATGTTTTTCTTTTGAGTCCTCCCTCTTTTTTCTATACAATAATGCTACAATAATTTTTCTATACGATATACATAGAAAACAATTGGTGGGATTCTGAAAAAATAAAATTTTTCACACGGTAATATTAATAATGAAAAGTTCATTTTTAAAACGAAAGGTTCGATTTAATTAAATACCGTTTCATATTCTGATATTCGTAATTTTATTAATGACATTTAGCGAATTGGCATTTTTAAATAATTGCAGATATATGTACTAATTAAATTATTAATAATGTATGTCAAGAATTTTTAAACAAAAAACCTCTTTGAATACTTAAAGTTATTATGATAATAATTTTGAAAATACTATAACAGAATAATTTACAACTGTGAATATAAATTTTATTAAAATTATATAGGTCATTTTTCAATCATTGTGTAGTGCGTATCAAGAAATATAAGTGAAGGTAATATAATATATACAAAATTAATAGGGCTTAAGAGTTCAATATAACTGTAATTCAAAATCAAAAAAAAATCAAAATATTATTGAATTATAAAATGTAACTCTTTAAAAACTTTAAAAGTATAAATCATGATTTCGTTTTATTGAGCTCGTTATACAATTCAACGTAGATATGCAAGTATATAGTTGAGAATAAAAGTATCAAAATTATTATTATTATTACAAATAATAAGCGCACTGTGGTCAATAATTTGTTTATTTATAATTGGCATAATTAAGATAAAAATACAGATACAATAAGAAAAACTGGGCCACTAGAAAAAGTGTTACAAGATGATTCATCTTGTATGCTCACTCCCATTTTATTCTTTAACAATATATTTTTTAAGTTATGATTTAATAATTTTTAAGCATACTTAAGGACCGTAATATTAGTTTCAATTATTTACATTCATTATGCCATAATATATGAGAAGCATCTTGCATGTGGGAATACAAAGTTTTTAAAAAAAGAATTTAATATATCTAAAATAAAATTTGAACGATTAGTTTCCAATTCATTCAAATGTATGATTAATTTATAATTGTTTAACACAAAATGAATTTAATATTATGGATATAATGGATGTATTATTTATGATATAGATATTCGAATAACATTTACAAATTATAAAATGTTAGTAAAATAATGATAATTTGGTACTAAAATTGTCATATTTATCATAGACATTAAATTTTCCAAACCCATTGTGATGGACCTATTATTTTTTTTTACATAAAGTTGAATATATCAAAAAATAATCGTTCAAATTTCGATTTCGATATCTAAATTTTCAACAAAAAAACTCTCACCTAATAATTTACAGTAAAAAGGTTAGTTCTCGATAGTAAAAAAAGTTTTCATCGACACAGGAAATTACATAAATGTCATAAATGGTGTAAAAATCTAAATAATTTAAACAAATGTTCTTTAAATTAGATAATTAAAAATTCCAACAATTAGAACTTGATTAAATTCATTATTATAAAGGAAGAAATAATGGTAAATTATTCTGCATAAATTTATAAACAACGATAAAACAAAGCATATGAATAATATGATTCTGAGCTTAACTTATAAGTATTAACTATCAAGATATTATTAAAAATGAGTGCATCCAAACATTTTTTCATAAAAACTTAATTCAAGAACATCAAGCATCAAGGAATATTCAGATTACGGATACAATTTGTAGTTTAATCAGTTATATGGCTAAATTAAAATCTTCTGAAGGTGTTTTTTCATAAATGATGTAATGTCAGACTAATGTGTATACGGTGTAGGTATAGTAAAATATACAAGTTTCAAGAATATGAATTTTTTTAATGACATACTTATGTAACTAAACAAACGGCTTTGGATAACTTTAAACTGAAGAGCATAAACAAAGTAGTCAGAAATTAAAATCATCGAAATTTCACAATATATATTTCGTGTGTAATGGAAGTCCAAGAAGAATGACAAATATTGGTTTGAACTTAGAGTTACGTTATATCATGTCAATTTACATCATATACTGAATAATATATAATAAAATAAAAATATTTATTTTATTACGTTTTCATTAAATATCAAGTTTCACGTTATCTAATCATTAACACAAGTTCGTTGTCTATAAAAAAATTTGGAATAGGGGTCTGCACTTAAAATAATAAAATTTATATGATATTTATTTT